GGACACTGTGACTGTGACAAGGTGACTGTGTGTGCTTCTGGGACACTGTGACTGTGACAAGGTGACTGCGTGTGCCCCTGGGACACTGTGACTGTGACAGGGTGACTGTGTGCCCCTGGGACACTGTGACTGACAGGGTGACTGCGTGTGCCCCTGGGACACTGTGACTGTAACAGGGTGGCTGCATTTTCCCCTGGACACTGTGACTGTGACAAGGTGACTGCGTGTGCCCCTGGACACTGTGACTGTGAGAGGGTGACTGTGTGCCCCTGGGACACTGTGACTGTGATAAGGTGACTGTGTGTGGTTCTGGGCCACTGTGACTGTGACAGGGTGACTGCGCATGCTCCTGGACACTGTGACTGTGACAGGGTGACTGCATGTGCCCCTGGACACTGTGACTGTGACAGGGTGACTGTGTGCCCCTTGACACTGTGATTGTGACAGGGTGACTGTGCGTGCCCCTGGGACACTGTGCCTGTGACAGGGTGACTGTGTGTGCTCCTGGACACTCTGACTGTGACAGGGTGACTGCGTGTGCCCGTGGACACTGTGACTGTGACAGGGTGACTGTGTGCCCCTGGACACTGTGACTGTGACAGGGTGACTGTGTGCCTGTGGGACACTGTGACTGTGACAGGGTGACTGTGTGCCCCTGGGACACTGTGACAGGGTGACTCTGTGCCCCTGGACACTGTGACTGTGACAGGGTGACTCTGTGCCCCTGGACACTGTGACTGTGACAGGGTGACTGCGTGTGCCCCTGCGACACTGTGATTGTGACAGGGTGACTGTGCGTGCCCCTGGGACACTGTGACTGTGACAAGATGACTGCGTGTGCCCCTGGACACTGTGATTTTGACAGGGTGACTGTGCGTGTCCCCGGAACACTGATTGTGACAGGGTAACTATGTGCCCCTGGGACGCTGTGACTGTGATAGGGTGACTGTGTTCTCCTGGGACAGTAGTTGTGATAGTTATGCACTCCTGGGATGCAGTAATTATGACACTGTGATGTGTACACTCCTGGGGACAATGTGAGATTGTGTCAGTGGGACTGTCTGTGCTCTCTGGGACACTGGTTTGGGCCACTGTGGCCATGCTCTCGGCTGCCTGCCTGCCTCATGTCCGAGGTCTGCGCTCTGGCCTACAGGGTGTCCTCATCGCTGCTCTGTGCTCCTGGCCGACAGGTGGGTGAGCTCTCTGTCCTCCAATTGCCTAGTTACTGTATCTGCTGCGATGGTGCTCTGGGGTCTGCCTGCTCTGGTGGCGTCTGACTGATGGCTTTGACCGTGTGCTCTGCACCATGGGTGCCCCTCTTCTTGAGACAATACTAAGTCAGATGGGGGCCTCTCACCCCTGGGGTTCCTGAATGCAGGCCCTCTGGGCTGTCACTCTACTATTCCTAGGTCTTCCAGGGCCCCTCCAGCAGGTACTACAGCTCCCCAAGCCTACTACTCCCATTCTGGGCACTCCCAGCCCTGGGACCCCGTCCCTGCCCAGGAAGCAAGCATCATGGGTTCAGCACACACAGCCTGATATTTCCCAAGAGGAGCGTGAAAGAAGCTGAAGGAAAACAAAGCTGAAATCAACAGGAAATGCCAAGACCAGGGGCAGCAGTCCAAACTGCCGCAGGTCACTGGGAGAAGAAAGTGGGGGTGGGGTGCAGTAGGAACCCAGCCTCACCCCTTTTTAAAGCCCTGGAGACTCCCCCTACCCTGGCCTCCTGGGATGCCAACTCTAGGGGGACAGTGGCTGAGTGGTAATTGTTGTCATTATTTTATTGGTATCCATCTCGTAATGGCTTACTCTGGGGCTCCACGCCAGGGACTTTTCCACACGTCCTCATCCCCAGAGCTGGGTGAGGAATCTCTGTTGGACACATGGGGAAACTGAGGCCCAGAAATGCAAAGTCCATTCTCCTTTTCACCCAAGCTCACACAACCAGGAAATGGCAACCGGCACAAGACAGATCTGTCTGATGCCTGTGAATCTTTGTGCAAGTGACTTACCCTCTCTGAGCCTCAGTTTCCCCATCTGTAAAGCAGGGATGTTGGTGGTACTGTTCTGTGGGGGTCAGTTTGAAAGTTCTCTGCCCTCAGGGATGTGTGTAAAGGGCTCCACACGGTGGATAGTTGCTCAGGGACCTGGCCTCAGGGGAGAGGGGGTGGGGCCTGGGTGGACCCTGCTCCTCTGTGGTGGGGAGAGAAAGCAGGAACTTCAGGGGCTCAGGTTTCTGTCGCACTCTGGGCCCGTGGCTGTGCCAGTGCCCACAGCTGGGCCCGGTGGGTGGGCTGTAGCCTGAGGGGGGGTCCTTGGTGCCAGTGTCCCTCTCTAGGCAGAAAAGAGCAAAGGGGAACTGAGAGGCCTCTGCTGGGAACTCCCCCTCCTTAGAACAGGCATGGGCCAGGCCACTTCTCCCCAGAGGGGGCTCCTAGCGCTCCCCAAGTCGAAGTTTACCCAGCCTCCAGAAGGGGGCTCCAGAGAATCCCTCCAGACTTGAGTCGCAGGGTGAACCCTTAGAGAGGGCACTGCCCCCGTCAGAGATGGCATCCACGCACCCCCTCCAGACCTGCAGATATACAAACCGGAGCTTCCGGCGCCCTGCGAGGCTGAGTCACGGCACCGGCACACTGTGTCAAGAGGCAGATGGAGCGTGAGGAGGAGAAGGACGTTTGGTAGAGGGGCTGCCTGCTTTGGGGAGGAGGGTATGCCCCCTCGGCTGGGTCCCCCAAACTCTCCCTACACAGGGAAACGCTATAAAAACGCTGCGTGGACCCAAAAAGAGGTGGAGGCAGCTGGGCGGGGGTCTGTCTATCGCCCGTAGTCTCTGTCTTCACCTGGGTCCTCACCTTCCCTGGTCGCTGGCGCTCCGATTATCTCTGGATCTGTACTGGGAGCGGGTCTCTCCTCGCGCCCCTCCCTCCGCGCGCCCTCTGCTGGACGATGAGAAAGGTACAGCCTGGGTGTGTGCTCCGAGGCCGGACCTGCCTCCAGAACGCTGATCGCCGAGCAAAGCAAAGTCGCCGCCGCCGGCACTACAGCGGCGCCCGGTATTATTATTTCATGGTTATTGAGCGTCCCGGAGGGCGCCAGGCCGGCCGACCGCAGGCTCCGGGTTGGGTCCTTGCCCTCCCCGGGTTGGGACTAGTGCGCTGTCTCCATCCTCCTCCACCCCACTGCTTCCCAGAGCGTCGGAGAGAGCCGCCTGGCGGATGGAGAGGAGAGGAACTTGGCTGAGATGTTCTCGGCGGCGACGCGGAGTTTACATCCTGCCTGCTCGCCCTTCCCTGTACCCATGGCCGGGCCTCCCACCACCAACCTGTAGTGTAACACTCAGCATCTAAGGCTTGACTGCTAACCCAAAGGTTAGCGATTAGAACCCACCCAGCAGTACTGCGGAAGAAAAGCCCTGGCG